TTTACCTTTCTTCAAAAGGATCCAAATCTAGGTCATCAGCTAAGGCCTCAACACCAGCCATTAGAAAATCTTCCCTGTAAAGATAATGTCAGAAGTGTTTGGTGGTGTGATGTTAGTTCTGAACCAAGTGTGGATATGCAAGGTGTAATTTAATGTATGAAATATCATAGCACAAAAACGTGAATATTTGTTTTACAGAAAAGATACTAACCCCTCAGACACAGGTTCAGTTGGAGATAATCGATGCGACATTTTAGCTGCTGTTCGCTTACTGGGTGTTGAGGTTGACTGCACATTACCTCCCTGAATTGCAGTTTCAGGAGCCTGCTTCTCCTGGTAGCTGGAAAACACATTTTTAAGCAAAAATGTCAACAAGTTGGTTGAGACTCTACACCTTCTGTTTACATAGATCAATAACGGCTAAGCTTCTTTACCTGTGGCACAACTAGTAATATGAAAATGCAGGTCAGTCATAAAAAAATTATTTATCATTTTCACAAACATATTTTATTCTGACCTACATTCAACTGGACAAATTTAGAAAAATAAATACAAACTTCTGCACAACTTTACTTTTAGTCAAATGTGTTGTTATGGCTGACTTATTATTTATTCTTATGAATCCTAATTTTATTTATTCTCAGCAATAGCGCTAGGGAAATATATTCCGATGGGGTTCTGTTACACAAACCCCACGAATAACATTATCTACTGAAGTAACAGTCCTGCTTAGAGGTTGGACTGTAGATCAAATATGACATAATTCTAAAGACTCATCTTTGGTTTGGAAAATGTCCGTTCTCTTCTGTGGTACATACAAACTGAAACGTGATCGCAGCTAACATGCTAACGCACGCTAGCTCTCTAGGGCTGAGTGGTATAATCAAATCAAGCTCTGTTTACTTTTCTCGTCAGAATAAACGGAGCATGCATTTATCTCCAGACACATGCGGCGTGTCGTCCACAAAACGTAGAAGTGATCTGATTACACCTTAGTTGCTTTTAGCTTTTTTAAACTGATCAGGAAGCCATATGCTAAACACCGTTAGCTTAGATAAGTTTCTTGTTCATCTGCACAAAGATTTGTTAGATTACCTAAATCAGCATTATCTAAATCCATAAGTTTAATTTTATTTTCTCAAATTGTGCAGATACAGCTCTGATATGTTTACCTACTCGTTACTGAAACCTACAGCAGAAATAAGGAGACCAACACTTACCTGGTCACTAGAAAATGTGCCATGTCCGCATCCTTTTTCAGGCACCAAATCCAGTTGAAGCAGCCTCCATTTTTCCAGAGCGTAACCAATAGATATTCGGGTCCCTGACCGACTTTTATCATATTTTCTTTTTGACTCTCGAGATGCCGCTGATAAAACCTTTTTCTTTGTGCCACTCTTTAGTGGGCTTTGAGTTGCGCTTGGTCGTTTGCTAGTTGTAGAATCCATTTCCAGGGTTCTTCCTCTACTGTTTGAGGTTTTAACGTGGCTAGTAGTGAAAGACGCATTACCGCCACCTAGCAAGCTTCCAAATGTTTTTCCGGGTTTGAACCTTGTCGAGAACGCGCTTGAAGCGTCAAATAACGTCACATCCTTAAAACAGCGCGGGAAATTCGGTTGCGACATGTTTTGCATTTTGAAGCACACAGCCTGTTTAACAAAATGGAATGATAAACTGGTTTCATCATTCTTTTTAGTTTAAAATGCTTCATCACCCATAAGCTTCACAAGAATGAACATTTACTTTTTGTTTTTGGACAATTCTGCCCCATGCTCCTTTAAAGCAAACAGACCATTTGATTGGTCAGATATATTATTGAAAAGTAATTTGTGCCTGTGATTTATTTTAGTCCAATGCAGTATTCATTCCTTATTTACAGAAATGTTGTATTATACACATCAGTCACTGTACTGTGCAATCCTACAGATATGCCAGCATCAAGCTAGAACAACAATGTTTAATTTCTTACCGTTGACTGCTTTTTGGGCTGTACTTCTAATAAATGTTCTTTGCAAAGTGGAGTTTAACTAATTTGTTGAGTCAAAAGAAATGAAGATTGTTCAAATGATCAAATTTGATCATGTATTCATTGTAGTTGTAAGTAGCAGAGGACTGCTCATCCTGATCCAGGTTCTGGAGGAGTTTTTTTTCCTGTAAAAAGGGAGTTTTCCTCTCTGTCGCTACATGCTTGTTTATTTTGAGGATTGCTGTAAAGTCTTTGACCCCTTCTTTCCACCGGCTAAAAGCGGTCACGTTAAAGAATACCGGCGTTTTACCCACAAGCTCATTCCCAGCCGGGAGCATTTCTGATGCAAAATGGGAGCAAAAGAGTTCCATACAGCTGATCCTGTGATGTCACAAAATCAAATGAGAATTGCAACACCCCGTGTGATTTCATGAGTCCACACACAATAATAAACAAGAAGAAAGACAGCTGCATGTCAGAAAAGGTCAGCCCTGCCAATTGCCTCAAACTCAGATGACTTTACCCACACAAAATGGTGCTTACATTCACACACACACACACAGAAACACAGACGCGTTCACTTGGATTGCTCTCTGCCCCTCATGATCCTCTTGATGTTCCTGTACGGCATCTTGCTGACTGAGCGAATCCATCCTGACAACAAATGGGATAGAAGACACAGAATATGTTTCCCTTCACTCCTCTGTATTACTAATGCATAGGCCGTTGGATTGCATAGCATAAATACTTTAACCACGTCACCTCCATTTGTAGCTGTGTGACCCAAACAGACTGAAGCAGAAACATATGAAATATAAATCGGCCTTTTATAACAACCTATTGTGTACGAGAAAAGCGTGTGTGTGTGTGTGTGTGTGTGTGTGTGTGTCTGAGAGTTGTGTGCATTATTGTCACGTTCTGCAGGGAACATCCAACCGTTGCACTCAAGTAAACTGAGGGAATGAGAGTCTTAGCTTTTCAGGAGGGACTTCATTTGCAATAGTAGGTAACTATTATAGGACCTTTCTCCCTCATCCAAAAATATCACAATTTTATCAAGGCACTATATTGATAATTTTTAGATACAAAAAGTGCTGTTCCCATTTACAAATCCAATATATTTTATACATACAATTACAATTCAGTGTGATACATTCATACTTTTGTTCACTCATTTTCTTGACCACTTAGTCTGAGAAGGACCACATACCTAACATGATCCGAGTGCCCAGAGAAAACCAACACATACATTGGGGGAACATGCAAACACTACACAGAAAGGTCTCAGGTGGGGGTTCACCTGCAACATTGTCGCTGTGAGGCAACAGTAAAAAATAAAAATAAAACCGCATAACTGTATGTAAACAAGACTGGATGGTGGAACAGTTTGATTTCAGCATTGCTCCACCATCCAAGCTCGGGTCCTCTTCCAGAAGCCTGGGAGCTTGAGGGTTCTGCAGTATCTTAGCTGTGTCTAGAACTGCACTTTTCTGGACTGAGATGTCTGATGTCCTTCCTGGGATCTGCTTTAGCCGCTCCCCCAGTTTGAGGGTTACTGCCCTTATGACCACTAGCGCCACCGATGTCTTCACTCTCCAGGCTCTCTAAAGTTCTTCTCTGAGCCCCTAGTACTTCTCTAGTCCCTCGTGTTCCTTTTTCCTTATGTTGCCATCACTTGGTATTGCCACATCAACCACAACGGCTGTCTTCTGTTGTTTGTCCACCATCACAATGTCCGGTAGGTTCTCCATCACCATTTTGTCTGTCTGGATCTGGAAGTCCCACCGGAGCTTGGCTCTCTCGTTCTCAACCACCTTAGGGGGCATTACCCACTTTGGCCGTGGGGCTTCCAGTCCATACTCTACACAGATGTTCCTGGACACGATGCCAGCCACTTAGTTGTGGCATTCCATGTATGCTTGCCCTGCCAGCATCGTACACCCTGCAGTTATGTGGTGGACTGTCTCAGGGGCCTCTTTGCATAGTCTACACAATGGGTTTTGTCTGGTGTGGTAGGGGTTGGCCTCTGTTGCTCTGGTGTTCAGGCCCTGTTCCTGTGCAGCCATGATGAGTGTCTCTGTGCCGTCCTTCAGACCAGCTCTTTCTAGCCAATGGTAGGATTAGATATCAGCCACTTCAGTTATCTGTCGGTGGTACAACACGTGCAGGGGTTTGTCCTGCTATGATGGTATTTGTCACTTCCTCTGTTAGCCATTGTCTGAGACATTAACTGAGCACGTCATCTGCTGGGGCCTTGTCCTTGATGTACTTGTGGATCTTGGATGTTTCATGCCGGACAGTGGCTCTCACACTCACTAGTCCTCAGACTCCTTCCTTACAGCTAGTGTACAGTCTCAGGGTGTTGAATTTGGGATGGAGTTTTCATGTCCATGTTCCAGCCTATTATTCCTGCAGGATGTCTGATTACTGGCAGGGCGTAGCTGTTTATTGCCCAGATCTTGTTCTTGCATTAGCTGACTTCTTAGGACTTGCCTTACTCGTTGTGGGAGTTTGGCTGTGACTCCTTTCCTTGCGGCTTCATATATATATATATATATATATATATATATATATATATATATATATATATATATATATATATATACATATATATACAGTATGTATACGTCTGTGTGTGTGTGTGTGTGTGTGTGTGTGTCTCACATAGTTGTTGGTCTGCCACTACTCCAACCCATAAGCGTGATAAACTGCCAACATGATTTTATCACTATGAAAATTTTGAGCCAGCTCAAAGCCTTATTTATCACAGTCAATCTTTTTTTATTGGTTCTTGCTTAGCAAACAACATTGATGGGCGTGAATGTAACTGTTACTGTAAATACCTGTTATATGTACTGTTGTCTGAATGAGGTCAAGATTTGGTCCAGACCTCACATTTGTCTGTCTCAATGACCAGCACACCTTGTAATGTCTCCATAATGAATGCAGCAAAAACCCAATTCAGTCCGGGTTTGATGACATTTTAAACAATGCAGAATGTACTTTATTTTGCAGAAAGTATTTCAATATGATCTGGTCATGGTTTATATTCAAGCAATATTTTAACATGTATTGATTATCATTTAAATTTAACCCTTAGAGGTCCCTTGTGCATTTCTTAGTGCAGGCAGTCATGTTTTATTTATTTATTTTTTAATAACTTTGGCTGTGCTGATGCAATTCTTTCTATTTTTGCTCTGGTGTGTGTTCTTGGGGAAGTTTACCCAAAATAAAATGTCCCCCTCCTACTCCATTTGAAACATTGCATAGACAAAAAAGGAACACTGAGGTTCCTCAGACATTTTTTGTGCCAGTGATTCCCTTTCAAATTACATCTTTCAAACAAAGCTAAATATCACCATACTTTGTATTTGCTCCGTGTTCCTGCAGCCACCAGGCATTGAAGTTCTTGTTTTTAATTTTTCCACCAAATGGCATGGATTCTCTATAAATGGGAAGACACTGATTTACAACACACTCATGCTCATTTGTGACTCTCTAGAGCCCTCAAGTCACCCCCAAAAGAAGTCCTCTGGACATAACACGCAAAAATGATTTAGTTTTTTATATTTTTATAATGTTGATTTTTTTTTAACAAAACCTGGTGCTAAAGGGGTTACATCTCAAAAGCACTAAAATATGTTACTATATTTGGTGAGGACTGAAGCTAAAGAAATAATCTGTGTAAAAAAGTTTTTGACTTTGGAAATATTATGTAATTTTATGATACCTTTTGCCAAAACGCTTTTTTGTGTGTGAGGGTCCCTAGTATAGCTTTTTTAAGGAACCTCCAAGGGTTAAAACACAAAAACTGAGACCTAAGTAGACATCTGATGAAAGAAGCATGCATATAAAGCTTTTTAGTCTTTCTCCTACATTTTCTTCCTTTCACTAGAGAGCTGGATGCTTAGTACGAGAAGTAAAACAAGGTTAGGAGAGCAAATGCGTAGCGCATGTAGTCTCTAAGATACATGGTTTATTGAGGTTGTACTACACTCTTGTTGGACATCATGTCATTCTACAGCTGATCCATCACACTCTGGAACACGTGCACTCTGGTTGTGGAGCTCTGGCTGCAGATCTGTCATTAAAAAAGCTGTAAAACATCTTGTCTGACTTGAAAACATGCCACAGCTAAACAGCTGTACTACATATAAAAACCCAGGTCCATCATCGAACTGGGCAGAAGCAGAACGTCTAACTTAAATCCCACATTGAAAATGGAACCAGTTATGATATAAACCCTTTAAACATGAATTTAAAAAGAGCTGGATATACTTTTATAACTATTCACCCAGATATTTTTGAAGGCTATTACATAAATAACTTTATACAGTGCATCAGATTTAATTGACTGAGAGTAGAAAGTTAATTAAATCAAAACACCAAACATTGTTTTCTGAACTTCTCTAAAGGTTTACTAATATGAAAACATTTTCCGTACCTGATCATACACACCAAAAATAAAGCCAACTTTCAGCCAACTTTTTGTCATAAAAAAAACATTGTTTATGCTACAATAAGGAGGTTGTTAACAGACACAGGTGAGGATTCATGGAGTCGTCCCATATCAGATGGGTTCTGTTTGAAACTTGTCAGAGATGATTGTGTCGGTTTCTGGTCTATGATACAAGCTACAGCCAGAAATTACAACCAACCATCACTGAAATGGGAAGGAAAGCGTTAAAAACATTTCCACGCATCCATACAAAAGGACGGAACATGAGGACTAAACTTGAGGTCGAACGGACATAAAAGAAAGTTTAAATTCCTTGTGAAAGTCCCAACTGGTGAGATTGTATGGCAACTAAACATTTGTCAGTATTAATATTCCTAAAAACAACAACATTTCTGAAGCTTTGTAAGGAGAAGATCAGCCCAATAAGGTGGGAACAACTCAAGCAAAACATAAACAGAATATTGATTCTGACAGGATAAGTCTTCAGAACTGTCAGAGCAGAGAAAGGGAGGAAAGTGGAAAGCAGAGAAAATGAGTGGAATGCATAAATAGACTTTTATTTGAGTTAAAGATGGAGATTTCTGCATACCATCCAACCTGGTTTAGGTAAAGGAGACTTTGGTTTTGGGTTCATTTTCTACCTCCGTGATAAATGAACCGATCTTTCCTTGTCTTTCCTCTCTACCTGCCAGGTTGTTTTCTGAGCGTGCACCACGCCCTGTGAGGTTTGTCTTCATTCACCCAGTATTAAAGGGCAGCTTGTATCTCAGCATCCTATAGGTGCACAAAATATCCTTTTCTCCCAGCAGCTGGTTGCTCTACAACCACTGCACCCAACAACACCAGTAAACATGCTCCATAGTTTAGTTCTTTTCTAAACACAGCATAGTAGAAGATTTGTGAACAATCTATTTTGCATCCTTTCACATCTGCTGTTGATTTGCACATTTTCTGTTATCGTGCAAATTTGCAAATACAAAGAAAATTTTGCAAAAATAGTTTGATGACTAAATTGCAACAAGACAATGTAATGCATAAGTCTTATAAATGCCAAGATGTACCCAGTTTTGACACACGACAAAGTCCCAAGTAGCAATTTTTTTTATTTCAACAAATTAAAAAAATTATTTTCTACAAAGTGTTTTTTCCAGTTAGTCCCCAACAGTTGCAAACCAGTCAGATGCGTCTATGGACCAAAGTTTTCAAGGCAGATCTTTATTCTGTTCTCCATAATCGTCAGTGGCATTTTGGGTCTACAGATGGATGGCGTCAAATAAAAAAAATAAAAACATTTGAAAAAGCAAAGCAGCAAGTTGTCTCTACGTATTTGAGACTCGTCCTCTTCATTCTAAGAAGAGATGAACAGATACTGCAGAAGCTCCTGCTAATGGATGAAAAGACAAATGGGGCTTAAAAAGGGAAAGCAGCTTCCCAGGAGCGTGTCCTCAGGAGATAATTATATGACAGATTCTTTGTCCAGTGATTTTATCGTATGTCATTTTCTAAGCTTAGGTGAAAACACATTCAGCAACAAGGAGTGCAATGTGTTACACGGTACATCACATTAGGACAGTTTCAAGTTATTTTGCCATAAGTGGTTGTCGCCATGAGCAGATATCAAAGATGACAGGTAAAGTCGAGTTAAAACACAAATGAAACAAATTCGATTTTTGTTTTATTCCTGCCAATATTAAATATTAAACTGTCACATACTAAACATCAAAGTGTTTTTACAGCTATTTCTTAAAAACTGGTTTCAGTGGTTCTTGAGCCATGAACTTGATTGACTTCACTCTGTACCCTCTTAGGAACACCAGTGCCACGGTCTGAGGTGGGGGGTTCTGCTCAGATCTTCCTCCGAGTGTTTGTTTGCAGGTGGGTGGAGCTGAATAAGGTACACCTGTGCACCACTCATGATGTCGGATCAGCATCTTGATGTGGCACATCTGTGAGGTGGGATGGATCATCTCAGCAAAGCAGAAGAGCTCACTATCACACATTTAGACTGATTTGTGAATAATGTTTGAGAGAAATGGTAATATTGTGTATCTGGAATGAATTTTAGATCTTTAAGTCCATCTCATGAAAAATCGGAGCAGAAACAAAGGTGTTGTGTTTATATTTTTGTTGAGTGTATATGTAGAGGTAAAAATAAGGCTGAATGTTAAACACGGGCAGTATTTCTATCTTTTAGGTTGCAAATGAGGAAGGAGGAAGAGAAACAAGTAAGCCATTAGTCAAATGTTATTAATGACTCACACATATGCATGTGCAGGACAATTAACCATTCACAGGTGAGTGTAACCGATAGGCGCTCTGCTCTCTCTGCAGTAAATCGAATGAGCCTTGATAACATCAGTGGCATCCCTCTTTTTTCTGGGGTCGTTCATTCAGGTCATTCATTCTGGTGTGTGGGTGTGTTCCCCGTTGGTTACTGGTATCCTTTGAGCTATCAAACTAACCCCAAAATTTGCTTGCCCATCTCCTGAGAAAGCATATGGGGGGAAAAGTGAGGAAAAAGCTTAATTACTTTAGCCCGCTCCATTGTCAGGTCATTAATAAAACCTAGTTATCTCCCAGTGATGCCCAGCCTGGAGCCTCCCTCTGCCGTATCTCATTCTTATCTACAATAAAATATATTTGAGACTTTTCTTCAAGAAAATAATTCAAGATTTTTGTCTTGTCTGGGTATGAGAAATAAATTAGAAAAAAAAACACGGACCACAGATATATGGCATAATGTAAAAAAACAGACTAAGTGCATGTGCTTGTGCTTGTATGATTCAATGTGCAGGCCTAGATGCACGTGTGTGTTCCAGGTGGATAAATGCAGCGGAGCTCCTCGGGCCTCGGTTTCATAAACAGTGATGGATTTGGGCAACCTGCAAATGCAGATAAGGGAGGTGTGAAAAAAATCACCTGGGCAGTTTTCCTACTTCTTGGCCAATGTATATTTAAAAAGGAGGATATGTTGTAGGATGCATATGCATTACTTACTCTTTTGCTCACATGCATCAATGACAAGCAGGGAAAAATGAATTGTCAATAATAGCATGGCTGGGTTGTCCCGCTGAGCCTAGTTGTGCATATTTTACGCTCACCTCTATCAAAAAGAAATAGGAATGTGATACGGAGTTCATTTCCTGTGGAGTGACCTTTGACCTGTTTGCTCAGGAAGATACAAAACTGTGTGGAGTTTCTAAATCAGGCATGCTACTGCCTGCTGTAATTTGTCTGGTTTACAAGCCTGAAATTACACCGGCATGTTTATCTATGTGTTTTTGTCCAGCCGTGGAAAGTCTATAGCAAACCGCTCATAAAACCAACAAAATCATGACTGAGGTAAAAACCTGAGACAGGTTTGTTATAAATATTATGTAAAGTGAATGTTTACATTGCAGTTGAATGTAGTTATTTGAAACATAACAGCTTTTGAATTCAATTTTGACCAATTGTCTATGTGCTGCACTTAAAAACTAATACTTGGGATCTGTGATCGTTGTTAATCAATATATATCACAATAATAAACAATCAATGATGAACAAGAGTCTGCTTCTAGACCCGCAGAAAAGGGATACACAACAATACAACAGGAGCAAGCTATCACTGCATCAACCTGATGGTGAAATATAAAATCAACATTGAATAACTGAACAATCACACTATAATGAATCACAGTGCATTTAGTGCCAACCACAGCCTTAAAGGAGACATAACATGCTTTTAAGTTATTCCTTTTTACATCTAAATCCTTCAGTTGGGGGTCTAAATACAGTGGAACTGCAGTTCTTTGGTCTGATTTCCTCATTATTGTTGCTCTACAGACCCTCATCTACCCCTGTTCTGAGGAGAGTCTTGAGAACGAGCCGTTTTTGGGTACTGTCTCTTTAAACTGGAGGAGGAGCTATAAACTCCGCCCCCCTCCATAGTGCAGACCTGTACTCTCCTCCCCCAGTCGGACTTTGTAGTTCCATAGAGAAATCATTATTTAGCATAGCAGATTTAGCATAGCATATTAGCATTTTTAAAACATGTGGGGAGAGTAGTTCATCAATCTGTTTCAAGGCTGCTAACTCTCTCATGCATTTGTCTGTAGTCACTCACACACACCCGTCACGGCCGACAGAGGGACAAGCGAGCAGGCACGTGCGCGCGCACGCACACACACACACACATCCGTCACGGCCATAGACTGTACATACACACACACAAGGAATGCTGCTTGCTTATTTATTTCTATAAAAAAATGTTTTAAAAAATGATACAGCTCATTAAAACACCATTAAAAGAATATATTTTATTAAAATCTCTATCTATATATATACATACATATAATTATAAATAATTTTATAAGTAGTCTTATTTTATATTGGTGTCTTAATGGCTGAAAATGGATAAAAAGCAGTTACATTTTAATTTAAAGATTTGAGATTCTAGTCAATAATAAATAACATTCCTCCAAATGTTCTTTAATGTGATCATTATAATTCTAATGCTTAGAACTTTGTTTTTATTGTCTGCAATGTGTAGCCTATATCTTTATTAAATATGTGTTTAGCTGTAAAGTGGTAATTCTCTCTAATGTGTACACAGAGGTGGACATCAGTGCTACAGTGAAATTCCCAAGATCAGTCTGCTTTGCTAACAAATATAGTTAAATCTTACCTGCATTCTAAATAAATACCGTTAGGTGAAAACATCAGTAGGCATTGACTTATTGATAAAATCCCTAACAGCCAGAATGGAAGAAGAGCATGCTGGGTCATCCTGGACCTGAGCCTGTTCTGTGTATTTACCTACAGGATGCAATAAATGTCTACAAGGTTGAGTTTGGACCATTACATCTAAAAGAAAACATACAATCAGTGATTTTTTAATTGTTTACATTAATATACACATTTTCTAAGTATTAACCTCACAGCAAATAAGTAGAACAATATAATAAACAGGCTTTAGTAGTTAAACAGGCGTTGTGCACACAGGTGCTTTGTGTCTCGGTGCTGGTGGTATCTAGGTCTCAGAGTTCCTGTCCTCCTGCCGTCTTCTGTTGCCCTCAGGATACGGATTGATGTTTCCTGATGATGAGGGAGGGGAAGTATGTGGGCTTCAAACTGGTCCTGGATAACAGTGGGAGACCTCCGTTGTCTGAATACTGAGACCAGAGGGTTGGTGAGATGCAGATCTTCTCTACCTCATCTAGAAACGGAGTTGGTTCAGGGAAAACTTTTCCAAAGACCAGTTACATGATGTCATCGCCATATTCTGCAATGATAGACAATAACTTTAATGACATATTTTGTTTACAAGCAGCTTTAGGAAAGTTGTTTCTTTAGCTTTCATGTTTATAGTCACGTTTGTGTTTGTTCACAAGTTCACTTTGCTGCAGTGACTTCATATTCTTACAAATGTAATAAAATAGTGACACTAAAATTATACAAATGACTCCTTATGAAAGGAAGCTCATTAGAGAGCAGTGCAGACAGACTTACTACATGCTGCAGCTGTTTTTGTAGGCCAGCTGCTGCTGAACTTGGGGAAAGTTATTCTGCACACATCCAGATCAGATGGTCGATTACAGAAAATAATGTAATTCAATAATTTCTAAACAGACTAAACAAGTAAAACATCAAATAAATCACTCTGCTGTCATCAGACGGAGTGATACAGGGGGTGAGGTGTTCTTAATGATGAGGGTGGCTGAAGTGTGTCATCACTCACTTTGTTCTGGTCCAGACCGTCTCTTTACTGGTGGGTCTCCTTTCTCAGTAGGTGACGTGAAGGTCCAACATCTGAACGTTCTGTATTCCTTAGAGGAGAAGAAAAGTAACATTAGCAAGCTGGCTAAATTATTTTTTACTAGCATCTCAAGGCCTTGGAGAAGCAGATCTTCACTTACCTAAACATCAGACCAGTTTGTCCCAGCTGAGCTCATCAGGGCTTTAGTCTGACAGCCTGTCAGTGAAACACGGCTCCAGCGTTCTGGATGTGGACTCTAAAAAGCAAAGGAGCATTTTTACTTTTGTTTTAATTATTTTACAGCCGATTTTATCAGCTTTCCGACGCTCACGCTCATACAGATGGTGAGCTTTGCTGCGTCTGACTGATGCAGAGTTAGTTTTTATATCTGCAGTGAGACAAAAAACTAACCTCACTTCACTCACAGATCGTTCTTTAAAACTCTGTTAAATCCACTGTGTTGACGCACTTTAATGACTTTGTCACGCTGCATTTAAGCTGATATGGGACTTTATTTACTGGATGCTAAGATTACATCACACTCACATAGAATAACACACAGGCTCTCTGCTGTTACAATCAGTGGATGTACATCTGGTGTAAAAGAAGGCGTTGATCAGAAATCACGTTTTATTCCACGAATATCAGCCAAATCCACATTAATCTGGGTGCTAACTTTACTAGCATACTGTGCTAGCGATAGCAAGCCGGATGCTAAAGCTTTAGTGCTGCTAATGCCCGTAAATCTAAAGTAAAGTTTGTCGACATTTTAGAGTTATATGAAGCTTACCGCTCTGCTGCTGTGTCCCGTCGCTGCCAAATTCAGATGGAAATGATCCTTTTAGATAGATGAAACCCTCAGTACTTACTAGCCTGGAGACACAAACGAACGAACCACACGCGCGCGCGCGCGCACACACACACACACACACACACACACACACACTACTTTTTCTTCTGTGTTTTTTTAGCAGTAGTGTCATCAGCTCCTGGGTTTAAATACTGCCACACCACCCTTCCTTAAAACGAGGAACAGTTTTGAGCTGTGTGTGGCTAAAATAACCAGACATTCTGCATTTTTCCAATAGGACTACAAAAAATCTTAGCGAGAAGAAAAAATGGCGGATTGGCTCTGTGT